GAGATGCAGCCCAGCTGGCCTGTGTGCTGCCTTGCCTGGCTTGGGGCCTTGCCTGCCGCTGTGGGGGGAGAAGGGGTAGCTCCTGGTCCTGGGAAGCACTCAGGAGGGTTGTGATGGGCCGGGGGGGGAGATGGACATGGCAACAGGGTCTATGTATGCATGTTTGTGATGGTCAGTGCAGAAGCAAGGTATGTGTGAGAGAGAGAGAGAGAAAGAGATGGGGGGGCGGTGACTCTGGCTAGAAGTGGCCCGGAGCCCCCTAGCCTGCTAAAGCAGCCTATGAAGGGGAGGCTGGCCTGGAAGAGAAGGGGCTTGCCCAGCCAAAGGTTGGGGGTAGGGGGTGTGGGTTGGGAGTGAGGGTCAATGGCATGAGGAGGGGCAGGGCACCAGCATGTAAGTGCTGCTCTGTGCCACAAAGCACCTGTGGGAACAGCCGCAGCTGGACCCACGCTTTGGTGAGTGAGGGGGGCAGGGAGAGCTCGGTTTTCTATGATAAAAAAACCCAAAATCAAACATCAAAATATAGACTCTACTTTATTATAGTGATTGGGGCACTGGTAGGCTTCCAAATTATTTAAAAATTGTAAATATATCAACAAAACATTGTGTTCATCTGATATCTATATATAGAGAGACCTTTCATTTTAATTGCAGAAAAACACCAATGTTGGGGTTCTTAATCAGAGAATTTTGGATTCTTAAACAGAAAACCAGGATCCCTGATGATAAATGATGTGAGGGGTCTCTTTTTTTCAAGCCCTGTTGACGGATATACATCAGGACATGGGTGTCTGGAATCTCAGCTTCTGCTTCTAAACTGATGATAATTAAGCTGTCACACAGTAATGAATAATAAATGTTTTCTTTTTCCTATGTGATCAAGCTTCATTACTTGCTTTTATTGATTTATCGCCCGGGTTTCATTGTCAAAGGCAAACTTAAGTATCTCCATTTCCCTAGGTGTTTACGTTTAAATCCTGCTACTATTAACAGGTGATAGCAGAAGTCAAAACACACATTAAAAGTATTGTTTTAAAAAGCCCTGTGGCTGCAGGCAATTAATTTGTTGCACAGAACAACATAAACGAAATAACACATTTTTCAAGGTATTTCTTAGCTATTGGCTACGTGTCTAGTAGCTCCTAAACAACTGTTGCCTTCAGCTTTCGACATGTAGATCAATCACATCTGAGACTCTAGTTGCAAGTTCTTTGTGTATTTGGGAGGGTGATGAGATCCTGACCGTGAGAGGTATAAGAGATGACATCTGACTGGTGTCACTGGATTAAAAGCCCAATTAGGAGAAAGAATACATTGAAACAGCAGCGACTGTTTGGACAAAAAAAAATTAGGTTATCTCAGCATTTCTTGAAAAATGCCAAACAATCCATTTATTAAAACTCGTCAATCATAGAATATTAGGATTGGAAGGGACCTCAGGAGGTCACATCTAATCCAAACCCCTACCCAAAGCAAGACCATTCCCAAATAGATCATGCCAGCCAAGGCTTTGTCAGCCCAGGTCTTAAAAACCTCCAAGGATAGAGGTTCCACAACTGCTCTGGGTGACCTGTTCCAGTGCTTTACTATCTTTCTAGTGAGAAAGTTTTTCCTTGCTGCAACTTGAGACCATTAGCCCTTGTTCTTCCATCTGTCACCACTGAAAGAACTCTAACTCCATCCTCTTTGGAACCAACCTTCAGGTAGCTGAAGGCGGCTACTAAATCACCCCTTAGTTTTCTCTTCTCCAAACTAAATAAGACCAGTTCCCTCAGCCTCTCCTCAGAAGTCATGTGTTCCAGACCCCTAACCATTTTTGTTGTTCTCCACTGAACTTTCTCCATTTTGTCTACATCTCTTCTGCAGCGGGGAGGCCCAAAACCCAAACACAGTACTCCAGATGTGGTCCCACCAGTGCCAACTAGAGGGGAATAAACACTTCCTTTGATCTGCTGGCAATGCTCTTACTAATGCAGTATGCCATTAGCCTTCTTCACTGCAAAGGAACATTGTTGGTTCATATTTAGCTTATTGTTCACTGTAACCCCCAGGCCCTTTTCTGCAGTTGGTCCGCAGCCTGTACTGGTGCATGGGATTGTTCCCTCCTAATTGCAGGACTTCGCACTTGTCTTTGTTGAACCTCATGATATTCCTTTTGGCCCAATCCTCCAATATGTCTAGGTCCATCTGAATCCTAGTCCTACCCACTAGCATATCTACTATTCCCCCCAGCTTGGTGTCACCTATCAACTTGTTGAGGATGCACTCCATCCTACCTTCCAGGTCATGAAGATACTGAACAAAACCAGTCCCAAGACCGACTCCTGGGGCACTGCACTTAATACCAGTTGCCAACAAGACACTGATTACTATCCTTTGAGCCCAACAGTGGTGATGCTTGCAAGAATGTTGTGGGAGACAGTATCAAAAGCCTTGCTTAAAGTCAAAGTATATCATGACCATTGTTTTCCCCGCATCCACAGAGCCAGTCATCTCATCAGAGAAAGCAATCAGGTTGGTCAGGCATGTCTTGCCCTTGGTGAATCCATGCAGACTGTTCCTAATCACCTTCTCCTCCTCCATTTGCTTAGAAATGGACACTTTGAGGACCTGCTCCATGATTTTTCTAGGGACTGAAGTGAGGCTAACTGGTCTGTATTTCTCTGGATCCTCCTTCTTCCCTTTCCTAAAGATGGGCACTATATTTGCTCTTTTCCAATCATCTAGGACCTCCCCAAAGTGCCACGAGTTTTCAAAGACAATGGCCAGCAGCTCTGTATTCATACCAGTCAACACCCTCAGCACCCTCTGATTCATTGCATCCAGCCCCATGGACTTGTACACGTCCAGCCTTTCTAAATGGTCCCTAACCTGTTCTTTCAGCACTGAGGGCTGCTCACCTTCTTCCCAAACTACTCTGTCTGGTGCAGTAGTCTAACCTTGTCTGTGAAGACCAAGGTAAAAAAAGCATTGAGTACTTCAGACTTTTCCTCATCATTTGTCACTAGGATGCCTCCCCCCATTCAATAAGGGACCCACATTTCCTTCACCTTCCTCTTGTTGCTCACATATTTGTAGAAACCCTTCTTATTTATCCTTCATGTCCCTTGCTAGCTGCAACTCCAATTGCACTTTGGCCTTCTTGACTTCATCCCTGCATGCCTGAGCAATATTCATTTTTATACTCCTCCCAAGTTGTTTGTCCAAGCTTCCACTTCTTGTAAGCTTCCTGGTTGCCTGTCATGTTTGCTATTCTTCCTGCACATCAGGATGGTTTGCTTCTGTGTCCTCAGTAAGGTATCTTTAAAATACAAACAGGTCTCCTGGACTCCCTTCCCCCTCAGCTTGGCCTCCCAGGGTATCCTGCCCATCAGTTCCCTTACTCTACTCAATTCAATAGGCTAGTAATGAAGTGAGGTGCTTTCAACTTGCGTGAGAGAGGCTAAAGAGCTGTCTGTGGGACTCATTTAGTTCTACATATTTCCCTGACATGCTGACTTCATATTCCTCTTCTTAGGCATGATTTTACAAACCTGTCTTTGAGTTGATCTTGAACTTCCCTTTCTCATTCCCAGATCTGATGAGGTAGGCAATTTCAGCATTTGTACCAATGTCTTTGCTTGTTGCAAAAACAGCAAGGATTTCAGTGCTAAGAGTGGTATCTTCAGGAACTGAAACAAGATAGTCTCTTCTTTCAAACACAGGAGGGTTGTCATTAATATCCAGCACTGTAATGGTGACTGTAGCCAGTGATGACAAGGTCAACATAATGCTCTGGTCTGATGCCTTTACACTGATGTTATAAGAGGACTGCAGCTCTCTATCAAGTGGTTGCTCCAAAATAATGATCCCTGATGACCTGTCTACAGAGAAGTAACCACCTGCGGAGTCTGCTAGGGAATAGACAACTTTTCTGTTCACACCTGAAAGAGAAGCAAAGGTGAAATTAAGAAAAGAAATATTTTATAACAAACCAGCTATTCTCACAGCATGTATTTATCTCATACTCTGTGGGGTGAGTGCATGGAGGACACAGCTGAAGAAGCAGCAGAATATTCCCTCTGCCAAAAACCCCTGATGAACAGTCTGTGTAACCCTCTCCTTGACTCTAGCTCTGCTGGTTCAAAACCATTAGGAATCAAGTCCAGAAGTGTGACTTATATGACCCAGTCCCAGTCCAGAGGTGCTTACAACAGAAACAGATAAGACAGAATAATGAAACTGCCATGCTTCAGAACATGCCACCAGACGTAGGAAGGGATTGTGTTAAGTATGGTTTAAAACAGGGCTAAGGATTCTTATCCCATTACCTGGATTAGCTTTTGTGACCCCTTTGTTCCTATGAGCTCTTTGCTTATTTGCCTTTCCCAGCTCTGCCCCATCTCCCTTCCTGTCCTTTGTATTTAAAACACTCTCTCCATTTTATACACTGTTTTGTCCATGTCCTCTCACAGCATATGATGAAGTGAGCTCCAGCCCATGAAAACTTATGCTACATAAATATCTCTAATTCATAAGGTGCAAACCTTTTCGTGCTTGTGGACTACTAACCTGGCCTTGATTCTAATGCTCATGTGGCATCAAAGTTGAAAATATGTTGAGGAATAAAACCTTGTCACTATAGTTTAAATCTGTCAGATTGGAGAGACATCAAACACTACCAGCAGGAACTTAGACATCTTAGAAAGGAAAGGCTTTCATTAAAAAAAAAATCTAGGTCGAGATCAGTAATGGAATTGTACAGAGGTGTCTTTTATTTTTTAAATCCTGCTTGCAGCTCCTGATAGAAAAAGCCTATCCAACCAGCTGTTGAATATGTAGATTGGTATGCTTAACGCTGTCTGCAATAATGAGGCCTGAAGGGTGGGTACTATATGGCTGCTTGCTCTTCCTGCACTACAGTGGGATAGCTGTTTGAAATCTAATTAAAAGTGAATGCTGAAACAACTCCATACAAGTTCCCTGGTTGCTGGTTTATTTTATGCTTTGGTTCTGGAACCTGCAATCAGAGATTATTACTAAACATAAAGATCGACTAAGTTGGAGATTCCCCATTCTTAACATCTTTCACTTGAGTATTTGTTGTCCTTATTGTCTGAGAAGAGACATTACAAGCCTGACATTAATCAGACACACAGGAGCTACTGAACCCTTCTAGGCATACTTT